TTTGAACAACAATATGAGACACATCACCATAGTGTAATATCAATATTATAGATCAAATGTAGAAATTAAGACATTCTAAAATGGTGCTGATCTGAAGTACATGTTTGTAGAAACATTAGAGATATTTTCATCTCTCACCAGTGGGTAGACTTGTCTATTTTCATGAAATGTTTTTTCTTTAAAAAGAGTCAATTACCGTTATTGGTTCCACTTTTATGAAATTTAATTTTAAGTAAAAACATTATAGATTAGCTAAACAAACCAAAAAAAGAGCAATGTTGTTTCTCATTTTAAGGAAGAGATCTAATCTAAAATGTTCATAGGAATTTTTTTAAAGAAACATCTCCCCTATCATCAAGTGAGATAATGTATGTGCAAAAGTGGTTTGTAACCACTGAAGCACATTGTCACATTTATGTTTGCTCAGAGACAGTCTCATAAAGCACTCTGGACCCTGCTTTCTATTGGGATACCTGTGTGGTTTCTCCTGAGGGAGCAGATCTCACCAGCACATCAGCATCCCCACTCTGCATAGACCCAGCTCCTGCATTCCATTCATATACAGAGAGCATTTCCTGAATAAAGCTTCCTCCAGTACTTGCTTAGCTGTATTCTCTCTTGTCTCTACAGTTCTGAATGACATCATCTCAACCATGTTCAATCAAAAGTTTATGGAGGAATTGTTCAAACCGCAAGAGCTCTACTCCAAGAAGGCCCTGAGGACTGTCTACGACCGCCTGGCTCATGCTTCCATTATGAGACTAAACCAGGCCAGCATGGATAAGGTGAGCAGAGAGCTGCCTCTGTCCCCCTGGTTGCATTTCTTGTACCTTTGGTGCATGAGCACAGACTGGGTCAAATGAGATGATGTATGCAGTGGTGCCTCGCCAAAAAAAGACACTTGTAAGTATCAGTTGTTGGTATTGAGTTCCAGAGTTAGAAAGGACCTCAAGTCATCCATCCCAACCCCTCTGATGTTCATGTCGTTCCACCTGCCCAGAGAGAGAGCTGGTGTTCATGCCCATATTCAGGAACACACACCTCGACCCAGTGCAAGTGCCTATCCCTAAAAACTTTAATTCTGCTTCAGAACAAATCTCAGCTCTGTGATGAGGAAACCGGGCATTTTTAAAGCAAATTCAAAACTGCTCAGTCTTTACTTAGAACATGAACATATTGGGGCACCTGGGTGGCTCAGTTGGTTGGGTGTCAGCCTTTGGCTCGGGTCATGATCCTGGGGTCCTGGGATCAAGCCCGTGTCAGGCTCCCTGCTCAGCAGAAATCCTTCTCCCGCTGCCTCTCCCCCTGGCTCGTGTTCTCTCACCACACTCTCTCTCTCAAACGAATGGATAAAATCTTTAAAAAAAAAAAAAAAAAAGGGAACATGAACATATCTGTTTCTTTCTTTCCTTCTTTTTTTTAAGATTTCCTTCATTTATTTGGCGAGAGAGAGCTCAAGCACGGAGAGTGGCAGCCAGAGGGAGAGGGAGAAGCAGGCTCCCAACTGAGCAAGGAGCCCGACGTGGGGCTCGATCCCAGAACCCTGGGATCATGACCCCAGCAGAAGGCAGACGCTCAACTGACAGAGCCACCCAGGTGCCCCTGAACATATCTGTTTCTTTGGGACACAAATTATTGGGGCATTCTGCAAAATCTCCTATTCAAAAAACTCTCCTGTTCAGAATATAGGTACTCCCCTCTCCCTGTATGGGGGCTATACTCAGTGACTTCCTTCCAAAGGGACAGTATGGAAAGGGAAGAGAACAGCTGACTTACAGTGGAAAAATGACAAACACTATAAGGTCAATGACAATGGTGGTAAGTCACATTGGTTGTGTGTACCCTGATATAGTGTGATGAGGATAGCACTCTACCTCTGTGGTCTTCCTCCTAAAAACCCACACCCCATTCTGATTGTGAGAAAAACGTCAGAGAGATGGGGCATCTCGGGGGCTCAGTCGGTTAAGCGTCTGCCTTCGGCTCAGGTCATGATCCCAGGGTCCTGGGATCAAGTCCCACATAGGGCTCCCTGCTCATGGAGAGCCTGCTTCTCCCTCTCCCTCTGCTGCTCTCCCTGCTTGTGCTCTCTTTATGTCAAATAAATAAAATCAGACAGATAACATTTGGAGGTCATGTTACAAGTACCTGACCAGTACTCAAAACTCTCAAGGTCGGGACGCCTGGGTGGCTCAGTTGGTTAAGCGACTCCCTTCGGCTCAGGTCATGATCCTGGAGTCCCAGGATCGAGTCCCGCATCGGGTTCCCTGCTCAGCAGGGAGTCTGCTTCTCCCTCTGACCCTCCCCCCCTCATGCTCTCTCTATCTCATTCTCTCTCTCAAATAAATAAATAAAATCTTAAAAAAAAAAACAAAAACTCTCAAGGCCACCAAAAACAAGGACAGTTAGAGAAATCATTACAGCCAAGAGAGGCCTAAGGAGACCTGATGACTAAATGTAACTGGGGTCCTGGAACAGAAATAGGACATTAGGGGAAAACTAATGAAATCTGAATAAAATATGGACTTCAGTTACTTTTAATATAGCAATAATAATAATTTTAAAAGGATTCATTTTTTAGTTCCTCCATTATGTGAATGTTTGTAAGTCCTGAGGACTGACAGTGAGTGCCAAGTATACAAAATCCGTGCTCACTTCCGGCTGGTACCTGGCAACCTCAGGGAGCTGTCTCCCTTTAACTGTGCCCTTACCTCCTCTCACTTATTTCTGGAAAGCTCCTTTATCTCCTTGAGCCTCCACTTTCTAATCTATAAAATGGGGATAATAATAGCTTTTTCATCAGTTTCAGGAGGATTAAGTGAGAAAACATAAAACACGTAGGCCTGGCACATAATAGATGTTCAATCAATGTTAATCATCTCCTCTGCTGCTTGCTCTTCTTCTGCCTTTGAGAAGGTTTAGGTTTCCATGGAGAAAGGACACAGAATTTGGAATAAAAAAATCTGGTTTCAAGTCTTAGCTCTACCATACTAGCTGTAGACTCAATTTACTGAATAACTCTGAACTTTCATTTCTTTGTCTTCTACCTGGTTTTATCCTTTATTCCTCTCATGGGGTCCTGTCGACAACAGGTGCTTAACGTGTGATAATGATGGCAGAGAGTCCCAAGTCTGTATCTTTAGTTTTATACATTCCGCCCCCACACACCCCAGGGTGTTCCTGGGTATTCTGCTTTCCAAATGAAATATTTAGCTGCATGTTGGAGAAATGGGATCATGTAGAAAGTTCTAGCAAATGCCTTAGGATCTGAACATCCTGAGCTCAAAGCTCATCCTGCCATTTATTACCAGCTGTGTGAAATTAAGCAAGTCCCTTCATTTTTAAACTGGGGCTAGCATCTTCGTCATAGAGTCCATGTGAAGATTAAATGGGACCAAACAAGGTGATGTATGTGAGTGCGCTCAGCACTACACTCCGTGGGTGTAGATTATCCTCCATCCTGCGTCAGTCATGCCCTAGCTTCTCTCCCAGACCGGTTCCTTCCACCCCCATCCCCCAGACTGCCCTGCCACTGTCAGCATCGGCCTTCTCCCAGGCACTAGGTGGAAAACACTGTGGTCATTTCATTTTTATTTTATTTAAAGATTTTATTTATTTATTTGAGAGAGAGAATGAGATAGAGAGCATGAGAGGGGGGAGGGTCAGAGAGAGAGGCAGACTCCCTGCTGAGCAGGGAGCCCGACATGGGACTCGATCCCGGGACTCCAGGATCATGACCTGAGCCAAAGGCAGTCGCTTAACCAACTGAGCCACCCAGGCACCCCCACTGTGGTCATTTCAGAAAGCCCTCATCTTCAGCCCCAAACCTACTCAGGCAGTCGCCATATGTGACAGTTGGTGTGAACCTATGCCTGCAGCCTTCTGCTTCCACAAAACCTATCTTGACCACTTTGGTCCTCACCAGTGTCTCGCCTCTGATGGTTCGTGGACAGCCAGACCGCACGTGGGGCATGCTGATATCTCATTAAGGATTGTTCACCATTTAAAATTGCTCTTACATGGTTGTAGGATTTCACACTTGCCACATGCACACATACTCTCCCCTTGACTCCTCTCAGCAGTTTAGCAACGACAGGAAATTAGGGAGTAATTCTTTTAAGATTGTATTTATATATATACTTATTTATTTGAGAAAGAGAGCTCGAAAGGGGGGAGGGAGAATGAGAGAGAAAAATCTCCAGCAGACTCCACACTGAGCAGGGAGCCCAGACTGTGAGATCATGACCTGAGGCGAAATCAAGAGTTGGCCACTTGGGTGCCTGGGTGGCTCAGTCGGTTAAGCGTCCGCCTTCGGCTCAGGTCATGATCCCAGGGTCCTGGGATCGAGCCCCACATCGGGCTCCCTGCTCCTCAGGAAGCCTGCTTCTCCCTCTCCCACTCCCCCTGCTTGTGTTCCCTCTCTCGCTGTGTCTCTCTCTGTCAAATAAATAAATAAAATCTTTAAAAAAAGAACAGTTGGCCGCTCAACCAACTGAGCCACCCAGGTGCCCCAGGGAATATTTTTTACAGATGAGAAAATTCAGGCTCAGAGAGGCAAAGGGACATGGCCAGGGCCATCCACAACACATCGACCACAACAGCAGAGGGCTGGTTTTTGAACTTGCTCTCCCTGAGGCCAGCACCCAGTCCAGGGCCCCACGGCTGCCAATACTGTTCCAAACATGTTCCTGTCAGCAGCATACGTAAGCTGACCAGAAATCCTGGCTTTCCCGGGAATGCCCTGGTTTATACCTGTTGTCCCAGTTTCATTATTCACATCATCCCCTTTTACACTCTTGGTTTGAGTGATAACCGACATGGTCACCTGAGCTGTATGAGATGCCCAGAACTGGTTTTCAGTAAATGCTTGACTGGACGATTGTGTGGAGGTGCTGATGTCTGCTTCTATTTTTTGTGCAGCTGTATGACCTGATGACCATGGCTTTCAAATACCAAATACTGCTGTGTCCCCGGCCCAAAGATGTGTTGCTGATCACTTTCAATCATTTAGACGCCATCAAGGGTTTCATCCAAGACTCCCCAGCCATCCTGCATCAGGTGGAGGAGACTTTCCGGCAGTTGACTGAAGTAAGCGGGGCGCCGGTTCATCACCTCTCAGCCCCATTCTTGTTCTCATTCCCCTGTTAAAAACAGCCAGATTCGGGGCACCTGGGTGGCTCAGTCGTTAAGCATCTGCCTTCGGCTCAGGTCATGGTCCCAGGGATTGAGCCCCGCATCAGGCTCCCTGCTCCGCGGGAAGCCTGCTTTTCCCTCTCCCACTCCCCCTGCTTGTGTTCCCTCTCTCTGTCAAATAAATAAAATCTTTTTTTTTTTTTTTAAGTTTTGTTTTTTTTCTTTATTCTTATGTTAATCCCCATACATTACATCATTAGTTCTAGATGAAGTGTTCCATGATTCATTGTTTGTGCATAACACCCAGTGCTCCATGCAGAATGTGCCCTCCTCAGTACCCACCCCCAGGCTAACCCATCCTCCCACCCCCCTCCCTCAAATAAATAAAATCTTAAAAAAAAAAAAGGCCAGATTCTATGACAGAACAGGATGACGGATGCCAAAGCCTGCCACTCTCCTGAAGAATCCTAAAAATCTACAAGTATCCATTTGGTCATATAACAGGCATTACCGTCTTAGGCCCTCTCACTGTGGGCTTCCACATGCAGAAAGCAACGACACAGGGCATGGCCATTTCCTCTTGACTTTTCTGAAAGGGAGCTGGCGGGGGGAAAGGCCCCTCCAGGTCTGGGGGGAACAAGAGAGGTGAAGTATCCCCCAACTTGGCTGTGGCCCACTGGGGTCGGCCGCACTGGCTCTGCCGCTGCCCCTCTCAGCCCCAGCAGCTGAGTCCCCTGCCTGCTTCTGTGGCTCCCGCCCCCCAGTGCCCGCCTAGCCTTGCCCATCTGCACTTCTCACCTCACTTCTGGAAGTGAAGCGCTTCTCTCTGCTTTGCATCCGGCAGATATACGGGGCACTGTCTGCGGGGGAGTTCCAGCTGATCCGGCAGACACTCCTCATCTTCTTCCAGGACCTGCACATCCGGGTGAGTGAATGGGCGGCCCAGGAGCACGCTGCCACTGCCGTCCTAGGGAAGCAGGGTGCCAAGTGGTCAGGCAAAGGAGGGCTGAGGTTGCCCAGTTAGTGATTCCTCCATGGTTGGCTCCATGATGATAAACTTTCTGATAACAAATCTCAGCAGTTTTTAAATGGACCAAGGAAGACAATGATACCACCATTCCTTCCCAGTTACTTTATGTGTTCCTTTAAAATATGATTTATTCTCTTCTCTGGAGGAAATGTGTTCTCAAGGCTACCAGCCTGATATCAATGAGAAAGCCTTTTCTCAAACCGTTAACATCCTTGACTTCTCCAGTATCTGCCCCTGGCAGGAGGCTGCCCTCCCACTCCATGAAACCCACCTTTCCTGGACTCTCATGGCGCCAGACCATCCTGGCCTTGCTTTACCCCTCCCAGCTCTGTGCCCCTCACTCCTTCCTCCCCCTTTCCTTCACCTTCACCTAGGATTTCGGAGTCTCACCTACACCCTCCCCTTGCCCTAGCCCTGCCACCTAGACCCACATCTCCACCTGCTTGCTGAGCTCTCCATGAGGAGGCACCCAGTGCCTACAATGTAAGGTCTGCAGTGAAACTCATCTCCAAAATTCCAGTCCTGCACCACTTCCAGCATCCCGATTTCTTGTGAGGGCCCCACGACTTCTTCACTCACTCAGCTCAGAAGCAGAGCATGACCTTTGATTCCCCTTCTCTGCTCTTCATCTAAAGCTCTCCCAAGGCTGCCTTTTCAGGGTCCACATCCTCCTTCCCCTCCCCGCTGCCCCCAGGCTGGCTCAGGCCCCCCTCTGCCTGTTGGCTGTGGCTCCCAACTGACCCTGCGTCCTGACCCTGTCAGGCCTACTTGGGACAACTCCACACACTGCTGAGCTCCTGAATGTGGGGCCTGTCTCTCTTGGACAGGACTTCGTTCCTCTGCATAACTTAACACGATGCTCAGGGAAGGATGGGTGATAGGGCCAAATGAGCCGAGGCTCTGGAGTCAAACATCCTGGCGTCTGAATCCCAGCTCCAACACAGCTCCATGAGCTTGGGCAAATTACCTCTCTTGAGCCTTACCTTCTTCATCTGAAAACTGGACATGATGATGCCTTATTGCGAGCGTATACTGATGCATCGTGTGTAATATGTGTGGATTTGCTTGTACGTTTCCTTCCAGAAACTGGTCACAGTGATTACCTCCTGGTTGTGGAGAACTGCATGGAGGATGGGAACAGGACAGAGACTTATGTTCCATCATATATCTTTTGAACCTTTTGAATCTTGTACTTGTGTAGGCGTAACATATTCACACAATAAAATTCAAAAAAAAAGAAGCAGTAGGATGCACTTAGTGCCTGATCATTATTTCCCTTCCACGGACCAGGGAAGACAAATAGATTTCAACTCAGAGGCCAATTTTATGTTTAACCCTCATGAATAATTTTATTTGCTATGGATCGAGTAATAATAACACCAATATAAATTAAGATCTCTAATAGTCATCGATTAAAATAAAAAATATGAAACTACAAATAAGATTAAGTTTGGCATTGCTTTAAAATATTGAAAACTCTGCATCAGATTCTTATCAAATGGTGCCTATTTGGACATTGTTTCATGGATTGTAGCAATATGAGCAGCCATATTGATTTCTCAGTTCTGACAAGATAAAATTCATTATAATGAAAAGACACTCCTAGTAATAAGTTTATAACAAAATCATTAAAATACATTAAACTACAAAATATATTAAGCTTTAATTGCTAAATAGGCAAGCAATGAAACATCAGAATGGTCATGAAGAAAAATAGGAATCACATATCCTGACGATATTCAGCCACCGCTGTGACACTTGGCTGGTCTTCCAAATCTGGTCTTGAATGGTATTTCTGCTCAGCTGCAATTTGTGCTTGCCAAGGCAGATTTTCTCTGTTTTCAAAACAGCCTTGGTAGTCTTTAGATTTGTTAGTAAAACCCACTAAAAGTCAAGAAAACACTGGTCTGATCTAACACTCCCTTGCTTACTGTTTAACCAAAGCAAACGCAAAACGCCGCATCCTGATATCCACAGCTTTCTGTGGTATCAAGAAACAACCTGAAGTGGTCTGAATGTGCTCAAGGCCCTGACCTGCACCCAGGCCTGGCCACAGACCGCCCAAAGACCACTTCCACGTGGAATCCTGAGCAGTTCTTTACAACCATTCCAATCCCCAACCCCCTCAGCCCTCCAGAGTCCTTCCAGAGTTGCCTCCGAAAGGGTAGGCGCCTCAGCTCAGCCACCCTCTCCTGTACTCTCATTCCATTCATGCTTCCTTCCCTCGAGGACTTTCCTCGTGTGCCTCCCGTTGTTTCAGTTGTTGGAAAACATCATGCCATCTTTGCCTCTTCATAGAACGTTCCCTATCCCTCCCCTCCACGACCCGCTCTGCTTGGAAACAGTTCATCCCTGTGACACTCGTCAGTCCACCACAGGTTTATAGAGCGCACCATTTTCAGTGTTAGAGATACAGAAGTGAACAAGACCGAGGCCCTGCCTTAACGAGGTTCTACGCCTAGTAGGAATAGACAGGGAGGATAAGTAAGTCATGTTCTTGTTCTGATAACTTTAGGAAGATGGCAAGATAAGGTAAAGTTATAAAGGGCAACAGAGATGGGATGTCGCCTGCGACCAGCGCTGTCCAATAGCCCTTTCATGATGGAGAGTGTATCTGTGCTGTCTAGTACAATAGCCACTAGCCACAGGTGGCCACTGAGCACTTGAAATATGGCTAGTGTGACCGAGAAACTGAATTTTTAATTTAGCTTAATTTGTTTAAGATTTTATTTATTTATCTGTCAGGGAGAGAGAGAACACACGAGCGGGAGGAGGGGCAGAGGGAGAAGCAGGCTTCTCCTCGAGCAGAGAGCCCAATGCAGGACTCGAGCTCAGGACCGTGGGATCATGACCTGGGCCAAAGGCAGACGCTTAACCGACTGCGTCCCCCCGGGTGCCCCTAATTTGGCTTAATTTTAATAGCCGCACTCGACTAGTAGCTACTGTACGGGACAGCACATCCTTATGAGAGAGTTAGAGTCGAGTCAAGGGCAGCCTTTCTGAGGACAGACATTTTAGTTGAGAACGTAACTAACAAAGACCTCAGGGAAGCACCTCTAAACGGAAGGGACAGCAAGTTCAAAGGCCCTGAGGTGGACAGAGCACGACGGAGAGGAAGCCAGTGTGAGTGAAGCGCGTGTAGGCAGGAGTGCTGCAGTTCACAGGTGGAGTGTGCAGGGGGGGCACTAACGGATCAGGCCAGACGCCAGTCATAACCGAACTGGCACCTACCAGCTGACTTTAGCTTTATACCCTAGTGAGGAGTTTAGTTTGTTCTTAGAGTAAAGAAAACATTTCAGGCCTCCTAAGGTAAGTGGTAACATGATCTGATTTGTGTTCTGGAAGATGAACTGCATGGGACAGAGTTGGAGGTAGGACAGCAGTGAGGACACTATTGTAGAAATCTAGGTAGAAAATGAAAGTTCTTAGCGTAGGTGCTGCCACTGGAGATAGCGAGAACTCGTCACATCTGGGGTATCCCTTCAGGGCAAGAGCAGTAAGACTTACTGAGAAATTGAACGTGGGGAGGAAGGAAAAGACAAACGAAGAATGACTACTATGTTTCTGGCCTGAGCAGCTGCTGGTGCCTAGTGCCGTTGAATGAGAGGCAGAGGGACTGAGGGAAGTGTATTTGGGTAGAAAAATTAATTAACTCTATCTAAGTTTGATTTGCCTATTAGACCTCCTATTTGGCGATGTCAAATAAGCAACTGAATATGCAAATTGAGAGCCCAGAGGAGAGATGGTCAGCATACATCATAGAGATGGCATTTGAAGACTTCTGGCTCTTGGTGGAGGCTGGTCATTCTCCCTCGTCCACCGGTAGGATGTGAGAAGCAGGGTCGGCATTCTGCCACCTGCCCCCTCACTTTCAGATCTTTATTCTCCTGCCCTCACCAACGTGGCCCTCCTCTAGTGAGGCCAGACCAGCCACTACAACACCGTGCAAACCCTGCACTCAGCACTCACTGCTGAAACTTCCTGCCAAGCCACTCACCTGTGTTCCCAGAGTGTTCACATCCCTGGCTCCCTGTCCTCCTGGCCACCAGAGCCCTGTCCCCACCCTCGGGAACATGCCTCATCCAGCACTCTGGCCCCACAGCTCTGTGACCTTCATTTCCTCTTTCCATAGGAAACATGCTTCCTACCCTCAGGAACTCATTAGAGAAGGGGAAAAGGCACCAAGTGCCTTGCAGATGTTTGATTTTAAAACAGGAGAGTATAAAGAGAGAGGCCACAAAGGAGGGAGTGGTCAGTTCTACCTAAGAGAATCAGAAAAGTCAGGGCGCCTGGCTGGCTCAGTTGGTGGACCATGCGACTCTTGATCTCTGGGTTGTGAGTTCAAGCCCCACGTTCAGTGTAGAGATTACTTAAATAAATGTTTTTTAAAAGAAAAGAAAACGAAAAGTCTTCATAGAGGATCTGACATCTTTTTTTAAAAATGGGTTTTCACAGGCCCATGGGAGATAAGGGGAGGGGTTACCTGGACACCCTAGGTGAAGGACACCACCCCAATAAGGGCATGAGGCACGTAACCGCCTGGGGTATTTGGTGGTGCAGGGGGTGCAGAAGGCTGCAAGCGTTTGGGTATGGCTGGAACATAGGATTCAAGGAGGAACATGGCTACAGAGAAGAACAAGGGCCAACTGGACATTATCAGGCAGGCAGTAGAGAGCCACTGAAGCAGGGGAGGGACATGGTCAGATAGAAGTTTAGAAGAGTCTCTGCAGCAGCCCATTGGAGGAGGGATCACAACCGGGTGAGAGGGCAGGCAGCGAGGTCAGTTAGGAGGCACCTGCAGTGGCCAAGTCAGAAACAACAAAGGTCTGCACCAGGGACCAGGGCGGAAAGGAGGGGCCAGATACAAGGAGGGATACTGGGGAGGCAGGGCTTGACGACTGAATAGACATAGGAAGGTGGGGGTCAGGGGAGCTCAGACTGCTGGCTTGGTGCCCTCATGGTGTCATCCACTACGACTGGAAACACCAGAGGAGGATCCATGATGACCCCTGTTCTGAGCAGGGTGAATTTGAGGTGCATCCCACGGAACCTATAGGTGGACACGTCTAATAGGCAACGGGATAGATGCATCAAGTGCCCAGGGAAGAAGGCTAAGTGGCAGCTCGAGATCTGGGAGCCATCAGCACGGAGGTGAACACTGGGAATACATGGGATCAGCTGGGGGAAAAAAGGGTGGAGTAAGAGGAGAAGGACAGGGGAGAGTCGCACTTACAGCTGAGGGCCAGCAGAGGGGCTGGGCAAGCAGACAGACCCAACAGTCCTGTCCAGCCAAGGGCAGGTTGTTGGGTCAAACACAGCTACACGTTGGACTGAAGTGTGTCCATTTCAGACCTGCTGTGACATAGTGTGTTAGAATTAGTCTAACTGTGTTAGAATTAGGCTCACAGAGGGTCCAGCACATATATATACATTCCCACGTCTCTAAATTTTCTTTCTCTGTGCTTGTATTCACATTCTTGGTCACAGAATCTCAAGGGCAAAAATTCCTTAACAGTTGTCCAGCCAAACCCTCCAATCAAACCAGTTTACACATTCCCCCGAAAACATACCTTCTGCCCTCCCATCTCTGCTTCTAAAATGTCTTTACACCCACCTTCCTCTAGGACCAGCTCCAAACCCACAGTTAGCCCTACCACCCCCATGCCTGTGGTCATTCTCTTCAGTGGGTCATTTAACTATGCATATGCTACCCAGCATCTCCTGCTTTATACTGTCCCTTTTTCCCATTTTATGCTTGGGTCCTGTGTCCAATTAGACTGCAATACTGAGAGTATTAGCTACCATGTATTGAGCACTTACTATGTGTCAGACTCTGTGATAACTGCCTTTTCATTATCTGATTTAGCGGGTAACATTTGCCCATTAAATAGATGCTATTATTACCCCTAGTTTACCGAAGAGAAAACCAATGCACAGAAAGGTTGTGTAACTTACCAAAAACCCAGAGCCAAGGAGTGCCCCAGGCGGGGCATGAGCCGAGCCAAACTGCCAGCTTATGAATTCTTACCGCTTCCCATTGTCGTTTGTTTGCACGCAACAGATGCTTACTTTTGATGATATTACGAATATAATCTTGTAGCATTTTAGAGTTAAGG